CTTTATGAAACTAAGTTAGTTCATCTAGATACATACACATTTTTAAAAAACACCTTTTTTTTCATTATATACATTGTATTAATTACACATGTAAGTTGGAATAAATCTCAACACATTTGCATGCAAAGAACTGATATGGTCTCAAACACACACTCTGTAGCTTTCTAAGGCTAAGTTCAAACTGCAGGGTTTAATGCTCAGTTCAGATTTCTTTGTGAAATTTTGTTGTGAGGTTGTTCACATTTCCAATTAAATGTGACTTGTATGTGATCTCTAGTGTGAACTTTAAACACCCCAAAAGTGTCCCACTTGCGTATTGGAGGACACATCAGCGTCTCACACACAGTGAGCGTGCTCAGTGCTTACAGAAGTCGCCTAAACGCTGGGCTTCTTTCCCAATATATGGTTCAGTTGTTGGTAAAATGGACAGGTTACACATCCGTTGTCTACAGCCGCTTCGTTTGTTCAAGTCTTTAGCCTCCTTGTATTTGGCTCGCAGGCTCTTTATATTTCATTGACATTGGAGCCAGGACTGCCTGTAGCTGCACTCGCGGATTTGTTTGGCAGTCATTTCAAAAACTGCCTGTTTTCGATAAGACCCCTTCAATTTGACCTGAACACAGCGGTCCCTCCAAATATGAATGAACTCTCTAACCTCACTTTCTCTCCATTGACGAGAGTCTGAGCCTGACGTGTAGGTGGATGAATGTGACCTGGCCATTCAGACTGAAGTAACATGTGAAAAGATCGGATATGTATCGGTTTTAGGAGCCGGACCTGGGTCGCATTTGAAAAAATCAAATCTGTGTCATTCAAACTGTTATTAAAAGATCAGATACAGGAGCATAGGGGCGAAAAAAAAAAATTTGGGTCACTTCAGACTGCAGTCTGAATGTAGCCAGTGTTTCTTGTGTTGCGCTGCTTACAAATCATGTTCATGGCAAGCAGGTAAGGAAATAATAATCAACAGTTACAGATGCTATAGGACATGGGGAAGAAGAAAAAAATAATGTTAATACGATATCAAACTTCTGCGAGCAAATGAGGATTATATTGACATTACATACTGAAGAAATGTGTGCCACTTTAGGAAGATCAGTAAAATGACATAAACAAGGCACGACATTTCATTGTATTATGATTAGAGCCCGACCGATATGGATTTTGTTGTGGCCGATATGAAACTGGTATAATGGGAGTTGGAGCTGCCGATAGCCGATATAATCGCCGATATATTTAGTGATGTAAAAATTCACTGTAAATCTTGAATTGTTTAAAAAACTTAGGTTTGGCTCTAGTGGATTCTAAATTGGTTTTATTTAGGCAACATTTATTGTTATTCTGACTCTTTACATCATATTTACATACAGTAGATTGGCCTAATGGCATTTTTGCATCGCATTCTAGCTACTATTGATGGGTATTCCATTTTTTTTTTTTTTTTGGAGAACCGGCTCTTTTGGCTCTGCTCACTAAAGCAGCTGGCTCTTTCGGCTCCCAAGCGACTCTTGATTGTTTAGTTGCAAGCAGGACTAAACCAAAACTGAACCAGGACTGAAAAAGGACTAAACCAGGACTAAAACAGATTTAAACCATGTGTAAAACAGGACTAAACCAGAACTGAACCAGGACTGAGTGTCGGGACTCGGTCTCTATCTCTCTCTCAAGTCCAAGATTAGTCCTGCTTTATTCATTTTATGCTGAACTGCAGCCAAATATGCACCTTTTTTTTAATCCTATGCACACGCATATTTCTGAAAGTTTCGTTTTCAGCCGCTGCTGCTGTCAAACTACGGGTCTACATGCGGCTTGAAGAGAAAAAGTGAGAAAAAGAGAAAACACGGCTCCCAATAAGAAGCATGCTCCCGTCGTTCACTTCAAAGAGCCGGCTCTAAGAGCCGCTTCGATCGCGACCGACCCATAACTCCTAGCTAGTAAATAAACTACCGCTATTAGCCTTTAGCCGTAAAAACGTGCGCACAGCGGTAATTAATTATATGCATAAATGTGGATCATTCACACGTCTATTCACAGCTCATTTACATATCAATGCTGGTCCAGTAACAAATATACGGCCAATATAGTCACTTTACAATAGACCAATAGAAAACAGCCTGTTTATGTGTGGGAGCTACAGCAGCTAATCGCTAACAAAACCTAAACTAGCTTCAAAGTCGATGTATTTCCAACACTCACCGCTCACACAGGCTCCTCCTCACATCACAAGTCTGAACTAATAAAAGTCCTTTTAATCCAGACTCAAGCCGATTGTGGGTAAAAAGAAAATAATCTCAGTGTTGCGCACGGCTGTGGGTGTAAACAAACACACGTGAGTGAAGTGACGTGACTCTCTGGTGTGTTCAGGGACAGTACGGACACAAATTACACCGCAAATAAATACTGATGCAGAGCCACATATTAGGACATTTATCTGTCTATAAATTGGATTAAATGAACATAATGTAGAGAGTCTAAGCTTTATAACAAGGTATAACATGCCCACGTGAAATATCGGCCCATATCGGCCGATAGCCGATATGTCTCCAGGTGCCCATATTGGCCGATAATATCGGCCAGCCGATATATCGGTCGGGCTCTAATTATGATATAGAATTCTGATTTTCTAACTCAATTCGTCCCAGTGCGTGACACGGACTACTAAAGGCCGGTGAGAACATCCCTCCTCTCTGCGGAAGGGGGGACGTTCCCGACATCCTCCAGCTGGGACTTTCAAACCAGGGGACACTCGAGCTGGTATTCTTACAGATCATAACCTTTTTCTCAGCTCAAAATCCTTTTTGTACCATGATCAAATTGAAATCATGATCTGGCTCTAAGAAGATCATGATATGAATTTTTTGGCTTACCTCACCCCCAAGCCCCATGCAGGGTTCAAACATGGCCACAGGCTTAAGTGAATGGGCCAAGCTTAGTGGGGCGTGTCGCAGGATTAGCATCAGCAGCTCAGTGTAGCTGGTGGTTGTGCTGCCCAGCGACCACATACAGCAGCGCTCCTCTCCCAGAGACTCATGTGTAGCACGTGCACCTCAAATGAAGAAGACTTCTACTCTCCAAAACACTCCTAACATTCAGAACAAAATATATAAGTCCTTTCACCTGAAATAAGTTTGGTACTGCAGTTGTTTTTGATGTGTAAGCAGCCTTTATAAAATAATAATATAAACAAGTGGAAAGTAATAAAAGAATAAACTGAAAAATACAAATTAAAAAGACAAATTAAAAACATAAACAAGGAGTTTTGAAATATAAAATTAAAGATGATTTTAATCAATGGAATGTTTTTTAAGAAGTTCTTAAGGGTGTGGGTGTCTGTTCCAATCTGAAGGGGCTTTGTACTGAAACCATCGATGTCCAACTTCTTTATAGATTGGAGGAACAGAAAAAGTGAGACAGTGGGTGCTTCTGAGTGAATATGACGGTCTTACTGAAATACTGAATACTAAAATCATGATTATTCAAATTATTATTTTTTTATTTGCATGCATGCAACTAAAAATGCATTTATTGATTATTTCTCTCAAAAAAAAACAACACTTTGTTATTGATAATTAATGGAAAACTTTCAAATTGAAAATAAATGTAGACTACAAATATGAACCTTAGAGCAGTTTTGCAATGTATAAAACATAAAATGAATAAAATATGAACATGAAACAAACATAGAAAAACATAAATGTATCCAAAATAAACTGTATATTCAGCTGGTCTACAATCTCTATATTTAAAAATAAAGTAAATATACTTAATTTATATTAAAAATATCACAAATGAGTTTGGAGATCGTTTGACACACAAATCAAAATCATGATGAAAATTCAATTAATTGCACAGCCTTAAGTTAAAGTAAAGTAAAAACATGTAAAAATGTGTTGAATCCAAAGTAAATGACATGTGTTGTTTGGTTGTAGCAAGTTGAGTTTTCCAAATCAAATACAGTGATGGCTTTTATTTGGACATTTAAAAATAAATCTACAAAGAGAGTTGAAGAGAACATTCAGTGCTTTGAGATTTGTATCCCAGCAGTCACGCCCTCTGAAATCAGGGAGACAGGATACAGCTCCAGATGCACTCATATTTGTAAAAAACTTTTCAGAGTTGTTCTTCTGGATGGCCAGGTAATAAAATCCATCCTTTTTGAAAACTGTAGGTCTCTGTCAGCCCCTGTCAGCCAAATACGAGTAGTTTGTGTTTACTCTTTTTTTTTTTTTTTTTTTTTTTGGTCACATGCCAGCCTGTTTTCCAGCACAGGTTGGGATTTTGTTTGGGCTGACCACTTGATGAAAGGAAACACATCCTTCTGTATCTTTCTCTGAATGTGTAGGGGCAGAGAGAGAACTGAACAAAATGTGACTGCACTGGCAGCTGTGTTATTACTTTAGATAGTACTGTATGTTACTCTTCTTGTTAATCTTCTCTGTCACTATAAACAAACAGAACTGAAAACTAAATCACAATAGCTTCAGTATTATTATTCAACCGCAAAGATGTGAGTCATTCTTTCAAAAACTGTGGATCTAGAGTTGTATGGCATTGAAAGTGTCCAGTGGAGAAATTCAGAGCTGATTTCTAGATTTGTCTTTTGAGAAAATGCCACAGTGTTGTTATGCATCAAACAAGAGACAATTACCTTTTAAAAATGTATGTTAAATTATACCAAATAATTGATGTAGCATAATGTAGGATAGTGTACACTTTCTGTTACACGTATAACCTTCATAGCGTTAAGCAACTGCAGTCCCTTTTTAATGCAAGATCTGTTATCACTAGATCATAAAAGAGGAGAGAAATTGTTTACAAGCTGATGCGCCTTGGACCCGGAAGTGACATAACGCTGAATAATACTACAGACCCCTCCCCTCCCTCTGAAATTATGACATTGCCTATTTATCTTGTTTCATTTCACAACTTATTTAATTGTTTTGTTTCCTAAAAAAGTGAGTGAGCATGTGACAAAGGTTTTTCCTCTCTTGTGTTTGCAGGAGGCCAATCTGACGCTGCACTCGGACCGACCCGACCTCCCCCAGTGTTTTCAGCTCACTGTGCTGGCATGGCTGCCCTGTATCTACCTGTGGGCCGCGTCCCCCTTCTACCTTTTATATCTGCACAGGAACAGAAGAGGCTACATCATGATGTCCATAAAGAACAGAGTCAAAACGGTAACGCCACTGCTTGTATTCACTGGGCCTCATTCATGAATCTTTTCTTTAAAAATTCCTTCCACTTTAAGAACATGCTGAAAGAACTCTGTACCAGATTCACAAAGCATTTTTAAGCAAGACAAATTTCTTCTTAAGTGACAGTTGTGCCGAATTCACCAACAGCCAGATACGAAGACCTTTATGCTCATTTACATTTCATTCACATAGAAAATGTATATGTATTTGATTAGAAACGCTCTCTGAACGTCCAAATATGGCCAACATGGGTTTGGTATTATCAAGTGTGAAAGCACAAGGGAGAGTGAAGTGGAGGTCAGGTGGAGCGTCTTCAGACTACCACTGTTTTACAGCTTTGGTCATTTCAAATGTCCAAACTCACTCAGGGAGGGAAGATTTAAGTCACAAACTTAGTGAAATAAGTGGATTGTATTTATTGTATTTATCGTATTTATCGTATTTATCATATTTATCGTGGACCCGCAGTAAATAATGAAGGGGGGTTCTGGAGTTGGGGTGCATAAGAGTGCGCTCTGGTCGTGGGGTGTCAGGGGGGTGATGTTGGTGTTGATTCCAGTGTGGTGACCATGCACAGGGCTGTGACAGACCCCATATAGAGAGCATTAGAGCTGGGACAGACTGAAGCTCACTGCAGCCTGGAGAAAATGTGTTACACCCAATAGACACAGACTCTATAAAACGCCTCATGAAGGTTATTGGATCACGCAGTCATATGTTTATAGGAACATAGCAAAAGGAGAAATTCAATTTGTCAGCTGGACTAAAGTTTATTTGGTTGAATACATTTTGTAGCTCATTCACGCTTCTTCTTCAGTTCTTCACTATTATCTGTCTGTGCTGCTGCTGGAGGCAGAGCAGCACCGACACAGGCGCGTGAACCCAGTGAGAGGACCCAGGAGCAAAATAAATCATCAAATTATCATCAAAAAAGGAAAAGTCTGATAGTGTAACTCCCCTAGCAGTCTATATTAAGAGTAGACTGGCTATATTATAAAATATAAAACAGCCTGAGAAAGCTCTGTTCTTATTTTCACTGAATAAAAATGTTGTAAATCATTTACGTAAGCAAATGAACTAAAACACTTTGCATATAAACAACAAATGTACAGTAGTTGTACTGTAAAGTATTGTATGTAATGTTTCATTATATCATATTATACTCATTAGCAGAAAAAATTACTTGAGATTTTTTTTTTTTTTTTTGCATCTTAAAACGTATCAAAATGAAATCATTATCGTGACCCATGTCTTCAGATATGTTTCCAATCATGAGGAAACCATTTCGTTGCATCCCTAGTAATTACCACTCTTACTGTATATGGTACAACAACACTTAATGGTGCAATTAGGTGTGAAAGGACATCCTGGTGGACATTCAGGTCATACACTGTGTCTACACATGACATAAACACTATGCAACTGAGCTTTTAAAAACAAGAAAATGATCATTACATTCAGTGACAGTAATAATAAAGCACACTGTGTTGTAATAAAGAAAGCCTTAATAAGCTCAGTAGCACATTCTTATTGAAGCTGTTTTTGGCAGCCAAGAACATATGAATGTAGACTGAACAGCCAATCACTTTTACTTTGTTTACTACTAATACTATCCAGACCATCGCCCAACCCAGGTTCAGTTGTACCTTTTAAAAACTGTACCAACAGAAACAGAATGTGGGCTCTCGTTAACATGTCGAAACAAAACTACTCCAAAATAATGTGGATACTCCTTTTTGCATTGAACAGTTTTGTGTATTTTGTAATTGTCTTTGTTTATTTGCTGTTGTAGGCATGTGGCTTGTTACTGTGGGTGATATGCTGGGCCGACCTCTTCTACACATTCCATCAGCGGGCACAATACAGTCCACCTCCTGTTTTTTATGTCACTCCACTGGTGCTTGGGATGACCATGGTAAGGACATAGACACTTTGTTTTTGCAATCCAACCAAAATGTACTAAATGTGCGTATACATGTCCTGGTAAGAGTCTTGAAGTACAAGTACAAATAAAAATGCACTTTTAGAGTACAAGTGAAAGTATTTTGCATAGATTTTAGGTCCTATATGAGACATGTTAGAATGTTTTTACTTCATCAAAAACATACAAAGTTGTGTTTTGTTTCATTCACACGATTGAGGAACTCTTTATTATTAGTCTGCCTACATCTCCAAAGCTCCAAATGCTCTATTCTACGTTGTGATGTCATGAAGTGGTAGTTTTCAAGTTAACAGCTCCTTTTAGTTCAGTAAAGATCAGCAATTCAAGGGCTAAAACTATTCTAGTAAAGATGTGTGGAGTTTAAAAACACAGTGGAGTACCTCATGTTTTACCATATGACATCACAAGGTGGAACAGAGTGTTTTCCGTCTGAAAGAAGAATTCAGCGTAAATCTTCAGGATTTGTGTGTTAAACGTGTGAATGAAGCAAAACACAACTTCAGGTCTGTTTGTGATGAGGAAATGACATGATAACATAAATGAAAAATAGCGTAATATGGGCCCTTTAATATTGCCTCTTTTACTCGTATCTTTACTTCTGAATTTGACGACAGTTTATTTTGTGCCAGCAGAAACAACACTGAACTTTGTTAGGTTAAGTTAGGTTAGGTCACTTTATTCGTTCCCGTTGGTAAATTTGTTTTGCAGATTTGAGAGGCTGGTCCAACATGTCACATTTCATTCATTCACACTCTACACAATCAACACATATAAAAACACAATCACAAATAAAGTCAGGGTTTGGAATTTTTTAAATTTAATGAACTTTTTGGAAAAGTCATGGAATTTTAGTATCTCTTTCACACAACTACAGCGATCTGTTAAAGGGCCCATCTCATGCAAAATCAACTTTTCAGAGCTTTCTACCTTCTAAGAGTGATGTGTGGGCCTTGTATGGAAGTGGTTTTTAGATAGATTTGGCATTTTTTTAACAAATTGCAGCATATTTCTGCCACCCTCCCACATGACAACGAACTAAAACCCGCTACAACGATGACGCGGTAGCTACACCTATGACACGTTTGATGTAGCAGAAAGTGCTTCGCACTCGCCCCCCTCCCCCACTCCACCGCCTCCGCCAGGCCTCCACACCGTATCGACTGACAATTCCCACATGAACACCTAAACAAAAGCATAAGCTAATTGTTCTACACTGCAGTGTGCACAATATAATAAGTTTATCTACTAGTGTTTATTAATAGTTTACCAATCAGTAATGTTCAGCTGATGTTGACGCGGTGCTTGAACTTCGTGCTCCTCAAAGTCCTCGTCCGATTCCGGGTCCAACACATGTGGCTGAACGCGCTGCATTGCCATGATGAATAAAAGTTTATTCCTACCACTATCAGGGTGCACGCCTGTCTCCCCCTCCCTCCGTTAGATGGGCGGAGGAAGGGCGGCTCACTCAGAGCCTACGTCACGTTTGGAGGGTGGAGCCTGTGCTTTCTCAGGACAGACAGGGGGATGAGCAATAGTTCCTGGTCTGTGACTGCCTTCAAGAAATCAGTAAGATTGTGTATTGAATGTTCCAAAACCCAAATTGTGCTTGTTTATGTGCAGAAGATACAATGTGAAAAGAGTTATTTTGCATCTGATGGGCCCTTTAAGTTCTCATTAGACTATTCTGATTATTTCTGAACGTTTGCAACTTGTGTTTAAAAGAGACGACAATAAATGCACTGACAGAATGTTGAAAGTTAAAAACTATAATCCCAAACCATTTCATATTTAGTCAGGGAAAATTCACTTTAGATCATGAAAAAGTCATGGAAAAGTTTTGAAATTTTGTCAGTGAAAAAGAGTGGGAACCCTGTATAGTGTTACAGAATGTTTTTTTTTTTTTCCATAAATTATTCATTCTTTCATCACGCTTGGCTAAAAAACACAATACATATTAAATATATAAAAAATATTAAGGACAGTATTTTATTTTTTTTTACTTAAATGCACATAATACATTTAGATCACCATGTTGCCTCACATTGTTTTGAAAGCACTGAAGTCACTGAAAACAACCTCCTTTGCTCTCCATGGTAAGTCACTCCCCCTTCAGAGCACCATCCCAACACAATCGATGTGCATCCTGCTAATGGAAGTACTGCACATCACAGTTTGTATAGTGTATTGTTTTGAGCCTTTCACATGAGCTAACTGTAAAGAGGGTTTGAATAGGGCTTGTAAGAGATCACTAGATTACTCAAACATGCATGGATGACACCTCAAACCTCCTCAAGCGTGTTTTTGATGAGGGAAACAACGTTATAACATGATAGAAAGGTCCAAAAAGTGGCCTTAGCTTAATACGCCCTCTTTAAGCACTTGAAGCATTTTTGGCAATGTCATAATATTGGGAATTACAGGATTTTAATAGGATTTAAAACTAAAATCTTTAAAAGTGTGCCAACGTAAATTTGCCAACGGATCCGTCAAGATTATTTCAGGTCAGCAGACTGAGCCGTGTGCTTGTGGGTGCTCTGTTTCAGCTGCTGGCCACCTTCCTGATCCAGCTGGAGAGGCTCCGCGGGGTGCAGTCGTCAGGAGTGCTCTTTATCTTCTGGTTCCTGTCCGTGCTGTGTGCCATAGTGCCTTTTCGCTCCAAGATCCTGCAGCTATACAGCCAGGTGAGTGAGGCTGTGTGGAGACAGACCTGCATAACCAGAGCTCATTCAGAAACACACATGGAACTGAACTTAATCACATTTCCTTAAAGGTCCTGTATTACACAAAATGGACTCTTCTTTAAACCATTTTAAAATACTGGTTCCTCATCAAAAACATATCCAGATGTGTTTTGTTTAATTTTGTTTGAGTAATCCTGGTTGGTTTATTAGTCTGTCTACATCTCCAAAGCTCAAAATGCTCTGTTCCACCTTGTGATGTCATGTAGAGTTACAGTTTTCAAGTCAACAGCTCCTTTATTATTCCAGTGAAGTTCTAAACAGTTTAACAACAAAATGGAGCACTTCCTGTATTACCACATGACATCACAATGTGGAACAGACTGTTTTCAGTTTGAGACAAAAACTCAGTCTATATATGCAGGATTAGTGTGTTATACGTGTGAAAGAAACAAAACACAACTCCAGGTCTGTTTGTGAAGAGGAAACATTATAATATAAATAAAAAAATAGGGTAATATTGAGTCTTTAAAGGGACAGTCCAGAATTTTGGACAATGGACCTCATTTCCTAGTGAGCCAGAGTGTTTGAGATGTGTGGAGACACTTTTTTTTTTTTTTTTTTTTTTTTAATATTCCATCCAGTCCTTGTATTTGCAGAGGTCGCTGGTGCTAGGCTAGTGCATGTCAAAAACAGTCTTACCCACTCCACAAAACACCCGAAACAAATCTATTATTACACCAGACTGTCCATGTGAATGTCTGTGTTGATAGAATAATGTTTGAAATAAAACTAACCTTACGTAAATCCTTCAAATGCAAGGTTGCTTTTACTTCTAAAATGATTCTATCAACATAGACATTTACATGGACAGTCTGCTGTAATAATAGATTTGCTTTGGATGTTTTGTGGAGTCTCAGACAACAACTTACTGACCCAAGTTTTGTTTCGTCAACTATTCCACACATGTATGCATCATCAACATCCCTCTGTCACAGAAAGAACACTCATATTCCACTGAGTCGTGTCCTTTAGTATGTGTTGCATCAGCTCTCAAGGTAAGAGCTGTTTTTTTTTTTTTTCAGAATTTAGTTGATGCAAATGAGCCCTGTGGTTTAAGCTTCATTTCTGTAAAACAAACACATTATAATGTCAATTGGGCTGATGTGGTTTTAGAGTGGTTATGGTTTATGTGCTGTAAACTTGATCTGTTTATTTATATATTGAGTTTATTTATGATTAGTAACAGTAATAACAATGATGATCATTTTAATTAAAAAAATGTTAATGATTAATCGAAGACCTGGTTTAGACCTGGTATAGTCCTGATTCAGTCCTGGTTCAGTCCTGGTTTAGTCCTGATTTAGTCCTGGTTTAGTCCTGATTTAGTCCTGTTTAGTCCTGAATTATTCCTGGTTTTGTCCTGATTTAGTCCTGGTTTAGTCCTGAATTATTCCTGGTTTAGTCCTGGTTTAGTCCTGGTTCAGTCCTGGTTCAGTCCTGATTTAGTCCTGGTTCAGTCCTGGTTTAGTCCTGGTTCAATCCTGGTTCAATCCTGGTTTAGTCCTGGTTCAGCCATGGTTCAGTCCTGGTTTAGTCCTGATTTAGTCTTGGTTCAGTCCTGGTTTAGTCCTGGTTTAGTCCTGGTTCAGCCATGGTTCAGTCCTGGTTCAGTCCTGGTTTAGTCCTGGTTTAGTCCTGGTTCAGTCCTGGTTTAGTCCTGGTTTAGTCCTGGTTCAGTCCTGGTTTAGTCCTGGTTTAGTCCTGGTTTATTCCTGGTTTAGTCCTGGTTCAGCCATGGTTCAGTCCTGGTTCAATCCTGGTTCAGTCCTGGTTCAGTCCTGGTTCAGTTCCTGGTTTAGTCCTGGTTTAGTCCTGGTTCAGCCATGGTTCAGTCCTGGTTCAGTCCTGGTTTAGTCCTGGTTTAGTCCTGGTTCAGTCCTGGTTTAGTCCTGGTTTAGTCCTGGTTTAGTCCTGGTTCCTGGTTTAGTCCTGGTTCAGCCATGGTTCAGTCCTGGTTCAATCCTGGTTCAGTCCTGGTTCAGTCCTGGTTCAGTCCTGGTTTAGTCCTGGTTTAGTCCTGGTTCAGTCCTGGTTTAGTCCTGGTTTAGTCCTGGTTTAGTCCTGGTTTAGTCCTGGTTCAGTCATGGTTCAATCCTGGTTCAATCCTGGTTCAGTCCTGGTTTAGTCCTGGTTCAGTCCTGGTTCAGTCCTGATTTAGTCTTGGTTCAGTCCTGGTTTAGACCTGGTTTAGTCTTGGTTCAGTCCCAGTTCAATCCTGGTTCAGTCCTGGTTTAGTTCTGGTTCAGTCGTAGTAAAGTGACCCTCCCCCCATAGGATTTTGACTCTCCTTACTTTTTTCTTCAGTAGTTACTTATCTGATCATTATTTCTCATGTCATTTATTTTTATTATATATTGCTACATATTGCCTTTCTTTTAAGGTATTTTAAGGAGTGTTTTGATGGATAACAACTTGGTATTTTGTGTAAATGTGACGTATTGTTAAAATTGCATATACATAGTAATCTTGTCACTTGTTATATTGTATTTTACATTGTTATGGTTTTTAGTTTGCTCTGTTCAGATAATCCTTAATCATAATGTCAATTTAGGCAATGGTTTGTAAGAATAATGACCTTGAATTTACTAATGTTGTGTTATTAAATCTTCTCATATCACCTATTTAACTACTTAATTGATCACCCCTGTCTATTTTAACATGATTCCAAATCATAAAACATCACTTTGATTACCTAACTCATTAATAACTGCTTATCTCATTTTCAGTAAAATATGTGTTTAAACAACTAAGTAATTTTTAACATTCAAAAGTTATAATCGACATAAAAAGGCATCTGAGTTCTTCAAAAAACACTTTTAAATATGTCAATATGTTTTAATTTGCAGATATAGTATTAATATTCAAGGTTTTTCAATAGAATTCAAGTTCTTTATTAATAAAATATAGATTTTCATAGGGGGGGTCAATATTCTATAGGGGGGTCACATATACCATAATAGAATTCTGACCCCGGGGTCAAAATACTATATGTTGACCCTGGGGTCACCTCATCGCGGGGTCAAAATCCTGTACCACACCGGCATCTTGATCAATTTCTTCTGCTCAGTAAATAAAGCCTGTGAAATGATGACAGATTTTTGACAGTAATATTCACGCCGGGTACCTGCAGGTAACCGACCCGGTGCAGGACTCTGGTATGATGTCAGTTTCTGTGATGTTTGCAAATGGCGATGAGAAAATTCAGTTTTTCGACTGGACAAAAGTTAGTTTGGTTAAAGATGTTTCTCAGCTCATCCAAGCTGCTTCTTCAGTTCTGGTCAGACGCTGGTGGACACTTCTTTATATCTGTCTGTAGGGAGGAGCTAAATAACTACTCCAAAACTAACACACCTACTTGTTTACAGTTTCTGTTTGTTAGTTAGACCTATTGACCTGTACAGGGTGTGAGGTCTAATTAGCAGAACAATTCATGGCCATAATGGAGCTTCCACATCTCTGGACCTGAGCTGGCTACACCTGTTGTTCTCTTGTTTGTTTTGAATTAGGTTTGAGGATGGAGTTGTAAAAGTTTGCAAATGTTCATGTGCACTGAAAGTTGGTTTGAAAAAAATTGTGCATGAAATCGAAATTGCAATATCTGCTAGAAAAATGGCAATTCAATTTTTTCTTAAAATCGTTTAGCCCTGGCCTAGCACCAGCGACCTCTGCAAATACAAGGACTGGATGGAATATTTCAAAAAGTGTATCCACATGTTTCCAACACTCTGGCTAACAAGGAAATGAGGTCCTATATCCAAAATTCTGGACTGTCCCATTACAGAGATTGTACTTCATTTCCTGGAAGTGGAAAGTCATCTGTGTTATTCCGTGAAATAGAAAATGGTATCTGAATCAGAATAAAGCGCTTATAGCTCATAAACTCATTGCAGTGAATTAATTAAAGCTCTTAGAATGCAAAAATCCTAATTACGGTGCAAGTCACATGCTGGCTGAATGCATCAGAGGTCAAATCCTCCAGCTTAGGTAGTCCTGGCCAAGACTAGCAACAAGACCACGGAAATACCTTGAACCGCTGTTTTAACACGTAAAAATCTGATTTAGGTTAACTTTATGGCTTCTAAGTAAGAGTCGAGGAATTGTGTCTACATATGTCCAACCCGGAAGTAAAATTATGTAAAAAAAAGTTTTAGAACACCCTAATTTTCCAGTTATTTATTGCAATTCAAGGCGTGTAAGTTCAATGAAGAGCTTGAAATGGTACAAAGATAAATACTGAACAGCCAAAGGTTTAAAAAAAGATACAAAATACAAGTCCAATCTCTGCCAAAACTACCTCATGAAAAAAGAACAAGATGGTGAGCTTGAAAACATGAAGTATCCAGCACAGTCTGCTCCTTTGAGCTGGTTTGGGATGAACTGGACAGAAGAGTGAAAGCCAAGAAACCTACAAGTGCCACACTTTTATGGGAACTTCTGCAACAGACTTGGGAAGAACTTTCTGAAGAATATTTGATTTCTATTGCAAAAAGAACGAGCCACAAGTGTGTTCAGCTGATATATCTGCCAAAAAGTGGACACTTTGATCAATCAAAAGTTTAGAATAACAGCAACAGTTAAACAGTAAACAGTAAAAAACTTGGAAAATGTGTGGTGTTCTAAAACTTTTGAACGGTAGTGTAGAGTCCTGCATGGGTCCATTTTTGGAGACCCGCCCGCACCCACCTGCACCCGCGCAGTACAGCACTGCACCCGCCCATTAGCCCGTGATTTTATCAAAGTTAAACCCGCACCCGCCCGGACCCGTTAACATTCCACCTGTTACCCACCCGTGCCCATGATAAATTACACACAAATTAAAAGCATTCTAACTGAAGGATCCATCAGAATATGAATTGAAAAGTTACGATTTCAAGAATTACAATCATGAAATTAAATGAAACGGTTACGCTTTCTTCAGTACAAATACAAATTCACAGACTCGACACTACTGTCATCACTTCACAGACTTTATTTACTGAGCAGAAGAAACATTGATCGCGTGCTCCACACACGCCACGGACTGAACCAAGCCTCCTAACTCATTACTAATCAAGGACTAGCCCAGGACTAATCTAGGACTGATTCCAGAACTAAACCAGGACTAAACCAGAACTGAACCAGGACTCACTGTTGGGACGAGCTCGGATGTGCACCCGCGTAGCCCGTCCAGTGACTGCACGGAGCGCAGCCGTCGCCCAATCGTGCTTTTCGGACACCCTGCTCCACGGGCTCAGGGTTCTCCCTCTCTCTTAAGTCCATGATTAGTCCTGATGTAGTCCTGGTTTAGTCCTGATTTAGTCCTGACCCATCCATGTCTAATCACTACCCGCCCACATACCCTGCCGTAAGCACATTGAAACCCGCCTATTTCAGCAACTGTTTGCCCGTACCCGACCAGGTGTAGGACTCTGCAGCAGTGTACTTATGTTCTCTTTGTTTTAGTGAAATGCTCAGTCTAACCTGTTATAAGTAGTGTATGAACTGTATATGTGACTACAAACAGAGATCACATGACACTGGCCCGTACACTGACATGACATGTATTATCACTAGAGGTTTGCTTTGGACTCCATGTGTAACGCTCTTGCCCCTGTGTTGACGTTTCAGAGTGAGGAGAAAAGCGATGCGTTCAGGTTGACCACGTTCTACCTCTACTTTGTCCTGATCCTGTGTGAGCTCATCCTCTGCTGCTTCAATGAGAGACCTCCACTCTTCTCCAGCGTGGTTACAGACCCCGTGAGTCCTGCTCTACCACACACCACTGTCTTATGTTCTCATCATGTTCTCGTAAAGGCTCTTCAGACTAGGCCTGTCACCATAATTACTATATTGCCTTATCTTTCAATATATGAAATCAGGGACAATGCATTCAGGCACGTGGAGTACATAGGAAGTGCTTATTTTCAAGTCTTGTCCCTGGTTGAGCTTTTCCACACCGACATATATAATACAAGACGTAATTCAAAAGACTGTACATTAAAGGCCCTACGTTGCACAAAATTTACTCTTGAAGCCATGTTCAAAGACTGATACCTCATCAAAAGCATACATGAAGTTAGGGCTGGGCAAGATAGGGGGGAAAAAGAATCACGATTTTTTCCCCCATATTGATCAACCTCGATTTTTGATTTGATCTTCTTCCATCTTATTTGAAATACAGAGAAATAAAGAGCAGGGTGTCAAGGTCACTACAGTTTTCGTGTTTGATAGGACCAATAATAATTCTGGAGAAATTCACATTAAAAAACTGGAATGAGTTTGTTATCAACAGAAACACGTGCAATGCCTGTGCACCAAATCAGGACTTAAGTTTCACTCCTGAACGGTGAGAAAATCGTGGTTTGCTTTCTCTAACTTAGATTATAATCATCAAAAGTATCAACAGGAGATAAAAGAGTGGGACGAAGGTGAGGAGTTGGATCAGAGAGCAAGAGTGGTCTGACAGCACCGCTCACACACACAAACAGAGGCACCTGACTTTTACGTGAAGAGACAAAAAGAGAGCGTAAATCCTTGTCAGACATAACCCACGATACAATTTGTATCTCGATACAGTGTACTTTTGGTTCAATATGATATATTTCAAATACATGAAATAAAGAAATAAAGGCTAAATCACAGCTGTGATACTAAAAGTCATGTTTTGTGCAAAGTTAATCTGAAACATGCCCATTCCGATCATCAAAACAGTGAAAATGTCAAATGCGTCACATAAACAAGTTTATTTTCTCTAAACAAGCAACAAAACTGTAGCTGTAACAAAATAATTTAGTAAAATACACCAAAAAATACTCTTGGTGATCTATCCATACAGCAACCCACGATATATTGATATTTGAATATTTTTGCACACCCCTAGCCTGGATTTGAGTTATGCTTCATTCACACGTTTGAGTTTCTTTTCTTTTTTTTTTTTTAATACATTTTATTTGCAAACTACATAGATTCCAACAAATAGGAACCAAACAACATACAAGATACAAGACAGACATTACGATTGAAGATTACATAAATATAGGGACAAAGATGACAGGGGTTGGTGACAGTGTGAACCTTATGTGTGTGTGTGTGTGTGTGTGTGTGTGTACGTACGTGTGTGTACGTGTGTGTAGGACGTTTCTGTCTGAGAGAAGAACTCGTAATATGGGCCCTGAAATATTGCCACTGATAGTTGAAGCTTTACATTTGAATTTGACAGCAGTTAAGCAACACCATTGCACTTTGTAACAGTTTTGCCTCGTGCCTTCAGTCAATGAGGCAGAGTGTGGTGTGTGGGGGGTGGACTTGTTAAAGCACGCTTATCCTTATATGACCTCCACTAACCCACTTTCTGACTCTTATTCCCTTTCTCCTCAGAATCCCTGCCCCGAGAACACTGCAGGCTTTCTCTCTACAATGACGTTTTGGTGGTTTACCAGGTTTGTACCACTCTACACACTGCTGGCTACGGCATTTGGCTGCTTGTTATCCGCTTCTCCCATTGACTGTATATATAAATGGACATAGCTAATCTACTGGGGGCCGAGTTCCAACTAGGAAGTGAGCATGGGCGCGCTTCCAACTCCATTAACATAATTCCCAATTCACTTTGCATGGAAAAACATTGCTCCTCTCTCTGTAACTGCTGCTGTCTGGCTCCTCATTTTGATCTTAAAATGCATGTATTAACCCGCTCTACATATTCCTGGTGTTTTTATTTTACTGTTTTGTTCATAAATCAATTTCTATTCCTTATATGGAACTCGGCTTCAAATTCGCCCCCATAACCACTAGCCTCGATGAGTTTCATGTGACTGGAGACAAACATTATGGGTGACGTCACGCTCACTTAGTCCACTTCTTCATACAGTCTATGGCAGTGGTCCGCAACCTTAAATACTCCAAAAAGAAAAGACAACAAAAGAAAACACCTGGAGCCACAAAACCCTTTTGAGTCTAAAATGAGGAGAACACTATATCATTTTGTTTTACCTGTGTGCTCTGTATGAAAGACTATAGTGTGCTGCATTTACGAAATCAATGAAATGCTACAGAGAACAGTCGATCTTATTTCTGCATGTAACACAAACATTTTGAACTCAGAAAAAAAGACACTTGGTTGATGCTTACTTGCAAATGAAATACTCAATGTCTATTTGAGTCCTCCTCATAAGAAATTTAAAAATCCAAACTTCCGTCTGCTTCTGTCTTCCGTCGTGATATTATCGCATGTACTGAAGCGTGAATCTGCCCACTTAGCATTAAACATTCTGTTTTCTTCAGAAACTTTTCTTTTCTTGGATTTATCCATCATTTATCTACAAGGGGTTGAAAAGCTCAATAAATTGTGCTACTGGTGTTGGTGCCGGTAAGTCCAGACTGCCAGATCTGTACCAGGTGTTTTGACGCGTATTTTGAGTGACAAAAATAGTTAAAATGTTTTATTTTAATGTTACAAGATGACAGTTATCTACAAATTTAGAATTACATTTAAAAAACAAACAAAAATAAAAATACATTGTAATTAAATACTCATTTACTTTCCAATGTCACAGGGAGCCACAACAGAAGGATGAAAGAGCCAGATGCGGCCCTGGCTTCTACATATGTTTAGATATGGGTTTGTTTGATCCAATCCTGATATCTGATCTACAAACTGGAAATGACACATGGGCACACAGAGAATGGGACAGTGATGAAAAAATATCGGTGCCAAATATTTCCCCCAATATCAACCCAAGCCAATATCTGCAAAAGCCCTACGATATCAGCCAATACCAATATACCAACCAATATATCGTCCATCCCTACTTCTAATTTTATACTGTCTTTTGAAGTTGTTTTCAATGCAACAACCACAACCAGCTAACAGCCATTCCACATTTATAACATAATTGTTTAGTTAAAATTACTGAAAATCAGATAATAATCAATACTCAAACAAGTATCAAAACTAAATACTAAAAGTCACATTCACAGTACAATGAGCATTTTCTGAATGTTTTTAGAATGATCTTGAGCTGTATCAGAACAAGTATAAGAGCACATAGACTAGTACACACCCATAGACCACTATGGAACCTGCCTGGACCACTGAGGGATTACACACATATAAGACTACAGTACATGGGAAGAAAGTACTATGATTTAATGTTGAAAATCACATTATAGCATAAAGAAAGAATGTTTTTGTTATGATCATGTTATCAGAATCAGTATATCAAGTCTATTCCTCAGTATCGATTTTCAAGTTTGAAATTTTAGTATCATGACAACACTAGTGTGGTCTATGGAAAATTTCACAAAGACACTTTTAAATCCATTTTTTTCTTGAACCCCTGACAGCCCCGCACAAGAATTCCAATATAGTGCAAATATATAGCCTATTTCTTGAACTTTAATTGGTAATGAATACTGTATACCTTATTTTATAAGGCGCACCGGATTATGAGTATATAATAATAATAATAATAATGTCGAATTATCTTGTCTATTTTCCTACATAAGGCACATTAAACGAAACAAATGGACGACACTTGAGACTGATCCCTTAGCCCAGATGTCCACGATCCATTGGAAGATCGTGGCGTAACTCGCCCAACGTTGCCTTCCTGTCTTCGTAAATGTGTATTATGAATGTGAATGTGGGTGGGTTGTTTAAGTTTGGATTTTTATTTCCCAGGAGGACGCAAATATACATTGAGTAATAATGTGTTTAATGCAGCTTTGCGCACATTTGATTGTTGATCCAGACCCATGAATCAAAAACAATGGCAACAAGGCGATGGCAGCCACACAAACATCTTGACGTGTCTGCTGTAGTCTCATACTTACTGCTCCAGCCTACAGAACACACTTGAGGCTCATTTCCGGTGTAACATGAGCCCGTCTTTCTTGATGTGATGATTAGCATGTCTGGGAAATCCAATCTGTAACAATTGGATTTAGGTGAGTAGATGGAGCATACAGTACACCATAGAGCCAAGACAAAATGCATCATGTGCAATACTGTAGCATAATGAGCACCACCACTCGTACTGCTCACTTAAGTACTTCACCTCATACTTTTTCTGTCCATTTGCTAGCGCTACAAGCTTAAGGGCAATCAAATCGGAATTGTAATTTCAATGGACGCAGCTAGAAAATCACAAAGGCTGCAGTTTTTGAAGTAGGGGGCGGAGCTCAGGCGCTAGAGCATTTGCCTTCGACGTAAAAAAAAAAAAAAAAACGTCATTGGTTGAGCGGTCATTTCCATTGTCACAGTTTGGCAGTATGATTCCAGCTCCCTCAGATGAATACTTCCATTGTGTTCTTGGGCAAGACACTTAACCTACCTCATCCCCAGTCTCTGCATACACTAGTGTATGAATGTGGGTGTGAATGTGTGTTGTAAAGTCAGGGTTCCCATGGGCATGTAAATCCTGGAATAGTCATGGAAATTGAAAATGTCATTTTCCAAGCCTGGAAAAATCATGGAATTTTGTATATTCATTGAAAGTTTTGGAAAAAATCATGGAGTTTTAATATCTCTTTCACACAACTACAAGTTTTCATGAGGAAATAATGATTACTTCTGAACGTATGCACTTTTTGTTTAAAAGAGCGACAATAAATGCACTGACAGGATTTTGAATGTTAAAAAACTATAATCCCAAACTATAAAGTGATTGGAAAGAGTTAACATTTCATATTTAGCCCTAAAAGTCAATTCTACACATCTAGGTGCCATAGTAAAAGTAATGGGAAAGTTTTGAAATTTTGTCAGTGAAAAAGATTGGGAACCCTGTAAAGTTCTTTGAGAGCCAAAGTGCTGTATAGAAATGTCACCATTTACCATAATTTCCTCTACAAACCACAAAATATCTTATTCTGCATTAAAAAAAACAGCAGACCCTGTAGTTTAGATACAAATGTGGTCTGAAATGAGACGTGTTTAAAATGTGAACTTTGAACAGAATCTAGGGATGAGACGAGGTCAAACTGTCACAAGGCACACACAGGAAGTTAACATATTGTAGGCCTATAAATCAGTCTTGATGCATGTGGGGAGCTGATGTTTAAAGCATAAAGGTTGTTTCATGCATGAAAAGAATATGAGGAAAATTACATAATGTTATCATTTTTTATAACTCTGTCAACATATAAAATCCACTCACAACGCAATGTATACAATATATTCAAAATCTCATCTTGATCTCGTATCTCGTCTCGTGAAAATTCTGTCTCGTGCCACCCCTAACACAATCTGATTATTAAAACAAATCACTTGTCTGATTGTAATAACAGTTAGGTCTGGGTATCATTCAGAAGTTGCTGATAAGATACATATCTCGATACAGAGAGCTTTCAATCCGTTACGATTCAATATGATATATTTCAAATTGATGCGATATGGTTCAATAAAAATAAAGGCTAAATCATGGCTGTGATTAAAGTCTTTGTTGAACCACTTCTTGTGCAAAGTTAATATGAAACACCTATTTTAATCATCCAGGGTAGCTGCGAGGTCTTAAAAGTCTTAAAAAGGTCTTAAATTTCATGTTCCTAAAATAAGGCCTTAAAAAGACTTAAATTATGTTTGTTTACTCAACCGGGCTGCAGTGCAATGTTAAATGGAGGGAGGGTAAAAAAACAACAACGTAACATGAAGGAAGGTCTAATTTGGAGTATGCATAAACAATACTTTGTTTTTTGGCACCGGTGGCAATGAGTATACAATCAGTTTCATCTACACTGCCCAAGACGCAAAACTCTGGTCAGATCTGCTCACATCGAGTACGTGTTTACGTCACATACATCACCACCAAGCGTCACCACCGAGCCGCCTGACATGTATACTCAATCCAATTCCACACACTTTTGCATCACTGTATGAACACAGATTTCCTCATCTAAACGCAGAATAAAAAGTGAAGATGCTACGACACTTTTGTGTCTTCTGTTAGGACCGTCATCATATAAATGTAGCCTTAGATTCTAGATATAGAATATAGATATAGATATGGTAGTTGGTTGGTCATTATTAGAATTAGACCTGGTGTTTTTCACCCGCATAATGTGTGTGACATTGGTCTTAATTTTCATTTAAGTGGTCTTAAAAAGGTTTTTAAAAAGTCTTAAATTTGGGGTAGTCAAACCCGGAAATACCCTGTAATCAAAACAGTGAAAATGTCAAATGTGTTGCATAAACAAGTTTCCTTCCTCTAAACAAACAACAAAACTGTAGCTCTGTAACAAAACCATTTAGTAAAATATACCAAAAAATACTCTTGGCAATATATCTATACAGCAGCCCACGATATTGACACTGTGTCATCATATTAAACAATGCAATGTATCGATATTTCAATGTTTTTGCACACCCCTAATTACAATGCTTGCCAGAAAAATCACAATTCAGGCCTAGCATATGCAGCACTGTATGTAACCACAGGCAGAGACACTTATTGTATGTGTGTACTGTATGTGTTGTGTCAGATTTTTTCTCTATTATCAAGTCTTTTAATATGGAATCTGTATATCTGTATATTTTTATAGCATACTTCTATTTTCATGCTGTTCTTGAACATATACCAACTTTATGAAAGAATTATGGTTTAGGGTGTGTTCACACATCGTGATTAGTCCTGATGCAGACTTGGTTTGGTCCTGTTCTATGGCCTTGGTTTAGTCTTGGGCAAGTCCAGGTTTAGTTCCAGGTTTTGTCCTAGTTTAGTCTTCGTCCTCTAGATACAGAAATATGCACGTCAAATCAATCAAAGCACAGTTTAAACCCTGGAGAAACTGGCCTTTTTAAAGATTGGTCCTTCCTGCCTCTCCAAAATATAAAATAGAGTAATGGAAATAATCTACTCTCGTGATACTACTGTGTAACGTATTAGTAGTAGTAGTACTAGGTCTCTTTTTAAAGTGTGTGTTTCTCTTCCTCAGTATGGCGATTAAGGGCTACAAAAATCCGCTGGAAGCCAAAGATCTGTGGTCTCTAAACCAGCGGGACAGCTCCAAAAGCATGGTGCCCAAACTGCTCAAGGAGTGGGACAAGGAATTAGCCAAAGTCAAAAGGTACTACACTCTCTGTTTATCATAAGTCATATTTCAACATGTTTTTCATTATTGGTGATGTCCTAATCTCAGATGGATCAGGGGCCTAATTTATGTACGTAAATTGATGTAAGATTCTATGTTTGTGGAAGAAAACGTTGAACCTTTTCATTATTTTTTGGGGGGATTGGCTCCACTATCTAATCTCATGGCTTGAAGTCATTCCAACTGACAACAATCACATCTTTTGGGGTTGAATAATGGCACCAATTTCTAAAGCTATTACGAAAATAATAAACAGCAAATTCCACCGTAGAATTCTGCCCCTAGATTGTTGTGATGTCTGTGAACGCGACCTATTTCTCATTTTGTTTTTTCCCCAGCAGTGTACCAAACGTGTCCACTCAAGCCACTTACTCCAAGCCTCCTTCAGCGAGCACCAATCACGTGGGAGGAGCGGAGAGCAGCCCAGAGGAGGCCGAGGTGCTCCTGTCCGGGCACAAAGCAGCGCCCCATCAGCCGTCTTTCCTCCGAGCGCTGGTCAGAGCCTTCGGACCCTACTTTTTAATTGGTTCTGCTTTCAAGTTCCTGCAGGACACCATCACCTTTGTCAACCCACAGCTTTTGAGGTAAATAGTCACATGATGGTCAGTTGCAGATAAAACAGGCTCATTCCAGACTCATATGTTTGTCTCTAAATTGAGTTCTACCCATGAACACTCTGGTATCGCTGCCCTACAAAGACAGAGCCCTGTAGCCCTGTAATTGTGTTTGGTCAAAAATGAGTTCATGTCATTTTGTTTGTATTTCAGACCTCCTTTATCATGTAAATAAATATCTTGAAAAATATTGAGCTCAAAATTGACCTTTGATCCCAGTTTTGTCAGTTCCTGTTCTCTGCCTTTGTATCATGAGCCAAAAATCGTCGTGCAAGTCGTGCAAAGACAAAAGGCAGAAACTGTGTATGTTTTGTTTGTGATTTAGTTCATAAATATATTTTATTTTAAAATCCAACCTGTCGCCTCCTTCTTTTCGCCTCCTTGGCACAGGGTCTGAACACATTCAGTAAATAAACCTTTGTATTCAATTATACTTCACTGATCTTTAAAGTGAAAGTATTGTGTGTATTTATTCATACTGTACTGTACACAATATCCTGCAAAGTCACTTGTGTCAAACTGTTTCACTGTGTAAGTGTCGTTGTACGATCCTGATCAGCACTAAACAGGAAACTCCAGAGCTCTTCTAGATCATTTCAAACAAACATGTGATGACTGGAGCTTGGTGAGGTTTTCTTCTAATGGATGGAAGTCTGAGGAAAATTAATCAAATAATAATCTTGTCAGTTTCTGCCTTTTGCCTTTGCACAACTCCTTATTTTTCTCTCATGATACAATTTTGAGCTCAATATTTTTCGCATACAAATATTTCTTCAGAATAGCAACTAGTTGTCAAATTTTGGACTACTGGACAGAACAGAAACTTTGAAGTCATTTTTCTTAGTTTCACACTCTGGTGAGTTAAGGTCTTTTACCTTTGCTGAAAGCTCTTCTCTGCAGGTTTTCTCGCTAAAATAGGCCAAAGTATATCTGGCTGTGGCATGTTTGTTTTGATTTGCTTGGGTGCTTCACCTTTGGCTTCCACCCAAACCTCAATGCTGCTCTGTGATTGGTCAGGTCTGAGGCCCACCAGCGGCTGGACCCTATCACACCAGTGGGAGTAGGTCAAGATGAATTCACAGGAATCCATCTTGCTGTGCAAGGTTACTTTCAGACCTGTTTGCACTGGATGCCTGAGCAGGATTTGGTGGTTATTTAAAGTGCCTGTGCCATTTTTTATTTTTTTTTATTTTTTCAAGGTATTTGAGCAAAATGTGTCTTGTCCCAACACAGATATAATATATATGTAGAAGCAGTTCTTGAGGTCAAAATATGTCCACTGTGTGTCTGCATCCAATTATAAAGCATTTTATCATAGAGAATCAGGAAGTGCATGGTTAGCATGCTAGTTGTTGTTAATTTCTCTGAAAGTTGTGAAACACATTCATATTCTCCATTGCAGTGAGTAATTTGGATGCTCTGAATGCTTAAGGAGTGAGGAGTAACTTTGAACTCCTGCAAACTGTTTACAACAACCGTTTACAACCATTTACGATGTTTTCATGTTTTTAAGACCTGCAGCACTTTTAAGGTGCTCTATGAAACTTTTTTTTTTCCACAGAGGTGCAGTTTTTTTTGTCTGAAATGTTCCACAGTGGAATTAAACATAACTCTTTTGATAGTTTTCAAGTTTCAAGTTTCAAGTTTCTCACAAACATGAGCTTTGATTATAAAAAGCACATTTTAAATAATGCAAACTGACTGACGCTTTAATGACACTGCACACGTACATTGGCCCTTTATTCTTATGCAGTTCCTGTCAGTGCATTTTTGCATACTCTGCTCCCCTCATCTGAGAATATGCGGAGTGTTCCTTACATGTTGCCAATGCAAACTCATGGAAATGTGTTCGTAAAAGTTGGAAAAACAAACACATGCAGCTTTGTGGAAGCTCTTATCACTACTGTCTGCATCAGTAAGATAAGTTATCACGTACAAGCAGTCATCACACTGCAGCTTTTCACATTACAATATAAACGTCAGGCTTGTGCGCTCCACCAAAATCTATTTCACTAAAAAGCAATATATTTGATTTCCAGGAACATGTTTTGGCTTGAACTTTTAGCCCCGCCCACTTAGTCCTTTCTGCAGCTGTGAAACAAGTGTCTGGGATAGTGTCATGCAGTTGCGTCCCAGGATTCCTAGTAACAATGAGAAAGATCAGGTTAAAAAAAATGTGTTCTTTTCAGTTACTTCTGTGTTCTGAGAAAATGCTTGTGTCTAATGTTTCTTATTTAGCAACTTTTACAACAATACCTGATGAATACAGAGCATATATCTTGACAAGAACAAATTAAAAGCAAGTACAGGTCTTTTAAATGTCTCAATTTTATCAAACCTTTAGCCTACCATACCATAAACAAATTAAAATCGCAATTTAAATTGGCACAAAGTTTTATCAATATCACAAAAGCTGCAATCCGAAAGAGAATATCCTCTCCAAAGAACAAAATACTAGTTTTATAGAAAGTCCTTGTTGCAGCTGCAGTTTAGACCAGAGGCAGAACCAAGTCTTTGTTTTGCAAGTCTCAAATAAATCTCAAGTCTTTGACCTCAAGTCCGAGTCAAGTCCCAAGTCAAATATGTGGGGCGCCAGTGGCAAAAAACTGTCATTGTGTCCTTAGGCAAGACACTTCACCCACATTGCCTAGTATGAAAGTGGTGTGTGTGTGAGTGATGGTGGTGGTCGGAGGGGCCGATGGCGCAGATTGGCAGCCTCGATTCCGTCAGTCTGCCCCAGGGCAGCTGTGGCTACAGTGGAAGTTTACCACCACTGAGTGTGGAGTGACTGAATAATGAACTGTAAAGCACTTTGGGGATCTTGAAAGGCACTATATAAATGCAATCAATCAATCAAATACAGGCAAGTCCAAGTCGAGTCTCGAGCACTGGTCAATAAGTCCAAGTCAAGTCCAAGTCGTCTGCTTTGAGCTTCAAGTCATTTCAAGTCTTTCAACCAAAGTACCAAATATAGCTTAGACCAGGGGTCGGCAACTCAAAATGTTCAAAGAGCCATATTGGCCCAAAAAAACAAAAACCACACCTGCCTGGAGCCGCAAAAAAATTAAAGTCTTATATAAGCCTAATATGAAGGCAACATAGGCTGTCAGTATATTAGCTGTATAAGCCAACTTTTAAAATGACTAAGTCGGCTACAAATACAAAATGAGCATTCATGATACACAAACCCCTTTTGTGACCCTCTCATACTCGGTGCACCGTCTGTAGCCACTGAAATCAGGTGGTTAGTGTTTATTCCTTTGTCATTTAGGCCCCGTTTACACGTACACGGGTATTTTTAAAAATGGAGACGTTTCCCTGAGTTTGAACACATCGTTTACACATTAATTCGCCTCTGAAAATGAATCTTTCTAAAAACTCCGGCTAAGTGGAGATTTTGGAAAACTCCGGTTTCGCGTTTGCATGTAAACTGAGATAAACAGAGTTTTAGGAGCTGACGCGCTGAAAGTGCGACCGACGTTTACCTGTTGCTTTGACGATGATGATGGAAGTATTCAGAGCAGCAGTCGCATTTCTTCTGATCGTGCACAGGAGCACTCATAAAATAAACCCGGAGCAGAAGCTCTGAGCTCGGGCAGCAGCGCCAAACACACGGGAGCAGTCAGCGCGCAGCTCCTCAAGACGGGTCTGTGGGTCCAGTGTTGGTCAGATTGTCCGGAGGCTCCATCCCCCGTGTCCTGGTTCCAGACGGGGGCGAGCAAGACCAGCGCGCAAAGGACTGGATCTGAGTGCTTCAGTGCAGTCATCTGTGCGCTGGTTCCGTGCGGGAAAAGCGAGAATGTTCTGTGAACCACAGGTCCGGGCTGCTCCGGTCCTCCGCGCTCGACCGCGGCTGGTTCCGTGGTGGTGCAAAGCATCCAGACAGAAGTGTGAATCCAGTTTGATTTGTTATATGTTGTTCTGAGCGTCCGTCTGCGCATGTGTTTTTTTTTTTTTTTGTTCTTTTCTCGGGGAAAGCGCTTCTCAGGTGGAAGCACCGGACACCACCCCCCACTTCAGCTCATCTGTTTGTTCTGCTGAAACACTTTTCATGTGTTTGTTATGTTTGCATTTGCACACAGCTGATGGATCAGATCCATGACCAGAGATGAACGAGGGTTTTACCCCTAAAGAAACCAGATTAAAACTACAACCAAAAAAATCATTCCTTTTCCATTTTCACTCATTTTTGAAAAAGCCCCAGGGAGCCACTGGGGGAGTGCTAAAGAGCCGCATGCGGCTCCGGAGCCGCGGGTTGCCGACCCCTGGCTTAGACTTTTGCAATGTATATTAATTTAAAGATAAATTGTACTTAAAAATCATAGTATATTTATATATGAGTATATAAGAATTGTATAGAATATTTTAGTTATTTTTTCCTTTTTAAATGTCTTCACAAGATCTTAGAGTGACCCATTAAAGAATTCAGATTTAGAAGTGCTTCTCAAGTCACAGGCCTCAAGTCCAAGTCAAGTCCAAAGTCACTGACCTTCAAGTCTAACTCAAGTCCCAGGTCTTAGTCCATTTTATCAAGTCAAGTCTCAAGTCCTTAAAATAGTCAAGTCTGACTCGAGTCCAAGTCACGACTTGCAAGTCCTCAACTCTTCTTTAGACATCTGCAAACATGTTCTGAAATGCATGGGATTCTTGTATTAGTTGATCAGTTACTATTTCAAACTTCTCTCAAATTGTTATATTACATAAAACTGACTATGAGCTTTAAGTCATGTTATAATGCTGTTACCTCCTCAAAAACAGACCTGGAGTTGTGTTTTCTTTCATTCACACATGTTTAAGTAATCCTTTATTATTTGTCTGTCTACATCTCCAAAGCTCAAAACGCTCTGTTCCACCTTGTGATGTCAAGAAGTAGTAGTTTTCAAGTTAACAGTCTTACCTTCTACCTTTAATTCAATAGAGATTTGCAATTCCAGACTTGAACTTATCCCAAGTTGTTGTAATGAAGGTGTATGGATGTTTAAAACACAGAGCAGCACATCTTGTATTACCACATGACATCACAAGGTGGAGTTTTGTCTGTTTGAGAGAAGAATGCTGTAGCGCAACGTTAAACAGAGGGAAAAAAAACAATAGCAACAACATCAAATGATGTAACGTGAATGAACGTCTAATCTGGAGTATGAGCAAACAATACTTTGGCTTGTGGCGCCGACGGCAATGAGTAAACATGAGTAGAGTGGAGGAAGATGCTGGATGGATGATGGGGAAGTGTCGGTTTAATTCAATTGGCTCTAAGATTGTAGATGCAGTAGTTGGTTGGTCATTACTAGAATTGGATCTGGTGTTTTTCGCCCGCATAATGGGTACGATGTTGGTCTTAATTTTCATTTAAGTGGTCTTAAAAAGCTCTTATAAAGTGTTAAATTTGAGGTAGTCAAACGTGGGGATACCCTGTTGTAATCCTCCGACAGTTATCTCTTCACATCTAAAATAATATTAGCTTTGATTTGATTTAAAATAATCACTGTTGGGCAAGTTACTTTAAAACTGTAATGTGTTATTTATTACTTATTACTGTCATTTCAAAGTAATTCATTACATTACAATATTACTGTATTTAAAATGTAAGGCATTACATTACTTTAAGTTACTCTCACCAAAATAACTGCGAAAAAGCTGAACTTTTGAGCCGTATATGGACTGAACCAGGACTAAACAAGGTCTAAACCAGGACTAAACCAGAGCTGAACCAGGACTAAACCAGGACTTTAACAGGACTAACCTCAGACTGATTCCAGGACTGAAGAGGAGGACTAAACCAGAACTGAACTAGGACTAAAACAGGACTCACTGTCAGGACGGGCTCGAAGGTGACCGCAGGAGAAAGGACCGGCTCAGCTCCGCACCTCATGGAGGTAAGAGCGACTGTCGCCCGATCGCTCTTTATGGACACCCTGCTGCGGGGGCTCGCGGTCCTGATTTCAGCAACTATTTGCGGGTACAAGACCCGGTGCAAGAGTCTGTTACAGCGCGAAACTTCTACCTTCCTTCAACGTGTCCAGAAGTCCAACTTTTTGTGCGATGGTTTGCATCGTCCTCTGTCTTTTGGATGCGAGTGCAGGAGCCTTTGTCAGTGCAGAACGTTTCGTCGATGTTGTGGATTTTGTCGGAGAGAAAACTTGCAGACATACAGCACTTCAGAATCACACTGATACAGATTGAACATGTATTTAAATTTGGCAGCTGAACACATTCTGTACTGAAACAGCGAGACCGTGAAAAGTGAACCGCGTTAGAGCGAGGGACGAGTGTAAACCAGGTCTAAACCAGAAGTGACCCAGGTCTAAACCAGGTCTAAACAGCGTAGAGTTCTGGGTCGGTCCTTTCGCCCGCGGTCACCTGAAGGTTTATCCGGCCGCGTCTCCGGCGTTTCACCGCTGCTGATTTTAGCGAATTTCTATGGAGAAAAACCCACCACTTCAATCCAGGTTAAAAAAGCATTGTAACGCGCGTTACTCACATTTGTACCGAGTAAAATATTACAATTTTTTCCCCTGTAATGCCTTACATTACTGCGTTACAGCAAAAATCAACGCATTACTGTAATACATTACTTTTATAATGCGTTACTCCCAACACTGAAAATAATGCACACTGACCCTGGCCTACACGCTCTAATGACAATCAGAGTGCACACGTACATTGGCCCTTTATTCTTTACTAAATGTTGTACTGAATAAAAGTGTTTGTGTATCTTGACTGACAGTGCCTCTGGTCATAATCTTGTTTTATTTATGATGACGTCAAACAGGATTTTACACATTTAAACACCCTGTGTCACCTGCTTCTCTCCATGGAGATAGATAAGTTATGTTTCCAGACAAAACAATAACATTATCCATTGAGATGAGCAGCTGGCGGACCCCCAAAAAGTTACATAATGCACCTTCAATGTCAAATATACTTGTTTTTTACTAGTTTTATAATCCTTCAAGATTCACCTTCTTGTACAGGGCAGCCGCGGGGTCTTAAAAGTCTTAACAAGGTCTTAAATTTCATTTTCCTAAATTAAGGTCTTAAAACTCTTAAATTTTGTTGTCCAAGTCTTATTTTTTTTTACAAAGGTCTTAAATTTCATTAGCCAATTTTTCTTTTTTTTGTAAACTCAACCAGGCTGCAGTGCAACATTAAACAGAGGGGGAAAAAAACCAACAACAATGTGAAATGATGTAATGTGAATGAACGTCTAATTTGGAGTATGCGCAAACAATGCTTTGGCTTGTGGCGCCGACGGCAATGAGTAAACATCAAGTAGAGTGGAGGAAGATGCTGGATGGATGATGGGAAAGTGTCGGTTTAATCCACTTGGCTCTTAGATTCTAGATGCAGCAGTTGGTTGGTCATTATAAGAATTGGATCTGGTGTTTTTCGCCTGCATCATGGGTACGATGTTGGTCTTAATTTTCATTTAAGTGGTCTTAAAAAGCTCTTATAAAAGTGTTAAATTTGAGGTAGTCAGACGTGGGGATACCCTGTTGTAATCCTCCGACAGTTATCTCTTCACATCTAAAATAATATTAGCTTTGATTTGATTTAAAATAATGCATACTGACCCTGGCCTACACGCTCTAATGACAATCAGAGTGCAGACATACACTGGCCCTTTATTCTTTACTAAATGTTGTACTGAATAAAAGTGTTTGTGTATCTTGACTGACAGTGTCTCTGGTCATAATCTTCTGTTATTTATGAAGATGTCAAACAGGATTTTACACATTTAAACACCCTGTGTCACCTGCTTCTCTCCATGGAGACAGATAAGTTATGTTTCCAGACAAAACAATAACATATCCATTGAGATGAGCAGCTGGCGGACCCCCAAAAAGTTACATAATGCACCTTCAATGTCAAATATATTTGTTTTTTACAAGTTTTATAATCCTTCAAGATTCACCTTCTTGTACAGGGCAGCCGCGAGGTCTTAAAAGTCTTAACAAGGTCTTAAGTTTCATGTTCCTAAATTAAGATCTTAAAAAGTCTTAAATTTTGTTGTCCAAGTCTTTTTTTTTTTTTTTTTTTTTTTACAAAGGTCTTAAATTTCATTAGCCTATTTTTTATTTTTTATTTTTTGTAAACTCAACCAGGCTGGAGTGCGACGGTAAACGGAGGGAAAAAAAACAACAACGTGAAATCATGTAACGTGAATGAACGTCTAATCTGGAGTATGCGCAAACAATACTTTGGTTTTTGGTGCCGACGGAAATGAGTAAACATGAGTAGAGTGGAGGAAGACGCTGGATGGATGATGGGAAAGTGTCGGTTTAATCCACTTGGCTCTTAGATTCTAGATGCAGCAGTTGGTTGGTCATTATAAGAATTGGATCTGGTGTTTTTCGCCTGCATCATGGGTACGATGTTGGTCTTAATTTTCATTTAAGTGGTCTTAAAAAGCTCTTATAAAAGTGTTAAATTTGAGGTAGTCAGACGTGGGGATACCCTGTTGTAATCCTCCGACAGTTATCTCTTCACATCTAAAATAATATTAGCTTTGATTTGATTTAAAATAATGCACACTGACCCTGGCCTACACGCTCTAATGACAATCAGAGTGCAGACATACACTGGCCCTTTATTCTTTACTAAATGTTGTACTGAATAAAAGTGTATGTGTATCTTGGCTGACAGTGCCTCTGGTCATAATCATAATCGTCTGCTATTTATGATGACGTCAAACAGGATTTTACACATTTAAACACGTGTTCTGGTTTTATTGGGACAAGATGAGCCAGATAGTAATGTCACAGTGACATTCTTTATCACCAGTCATTCACACTGCAAAATTATCAGCATTCCTTCAATATGTGAGCAGCTTTTTGACATCTAATTTAAAGGGTCCATATTACACTATTTTCTGATCTATGTTCTAATGTAGTTTCCTCATCACAAACAGAGCTGGAGTTATGTTTTGTTTCATGCACACAAGTTTAATACACAAACCCTGCACAGTTAGAGTGTGTTCTTCTCTCACACAGAAAACAGAGCATTTGGAGCTTTGAAGATGTAGACAGACTAATCATAAAGTCTTACTCAAACATATGTGAATGAAACAAAACACAAATTCAGGTTTTTGATGAGATTATGACTATATAAGAAGTCTTAAAGCTCACAATAGTCACTTTTGTCTAATATAGAACCTTTAATGAATGAATGATAAAGTCAAATTAATGTCACATAAACTGCCAGATGAAAGAATCGTTTTACATTTAGGGTATTGTTGTTATTTTGTTTTTACACTTTTATTGTTAAAGATTCTATTTTTCACAAAATGTATTTATGTGAGCTTTAAGTCATTTTATAATGCTGTTACCTCTTGTCTGTTACAGACTTGGGGTTGTTTTGTTTCATTCATACATGTTTGAGTAATCCTTTATTATAAGTCTGTCTGCATCTCCAAAGCTCCAAATGCTCTGTTCTATCTTATGATGTCATGAAGAGGTAGTTTTCAAGTTTACAGCTACAGTATCTTTTCTCTTTAGTTCTGTAGAGACTGGAAAATCCAGGTCTAAAATTATTCAAATGATTTTAGTGAAGTTGTATGATGTTTAAAAAGACAGTGGAGCACTTCCTACAACAAAATGTTTTCACCCAGCCTAAATATGCAGGGTTTGTGTGTTACAAAAAAAACAAAACTCCAGGTATTTTATGATGAGGAAATAACATTATAACAGAGATCAGGAAAATATGGGCCCTTGAACTGAACCTTGAACCTTGAAAATAAATCATGATTATTCATTCACTAAATAATCTTGACATCCCTAGTGCCTAGTGTTTCATAAGAAACATCTGATTTTTACTAAAACACTGTAATAGAAATGACTACGTTCTAAATAAATCAGTAATAATGCCTTTACCCCCCTTTATTTCAGTTGAACACTAAACGTGTGCTGTTTTCTCTCCTCAGCATGCTGATCTCGTTCACTAAACAGAAGGGTGTTCCAGACTGGTGGGGCTACGCTTTGGCATTCCTCATGTTCTTCACTGCAGTGCTCCAGACTCTTATACTGCACCAGCACTTCCAGTACTGCTTTGTGACAGGCATGAATGTACGCACAGCCATTGTCGGAGCGATTTACAGGAAGGTACTTCACTTTACTACTACTTCTACATTAGGGATGGGCATGATTAGTCGATTAATCAATAATTGATCATTAAGAATTTCATCGATTACGTTCATTTTAATCGACAAACCGAATGTAGGTTGCTGTGTGTAGTGTGACCAAACAGGGTCTGTACATGTGTCTCTCTGCACTCAGAAGGAGCGAGACACAAATAGTCGGTCAGTCTGCAGCGTACTGAAGCACAAATGTGTATTTAACGATGACTTGTACAAGAAATTCCACGCTTTCCGTTGCGTTCGGGACAAGTGTGAGGCCATGTGCACAGTGTGTAGTGGGAAAAAGTTTTGCCAGGTGAGAGTAGTGCAATGTTGATGACCCCACCCCCCGTACGGTGTCCTGGGTTTGACAAACGCAAATCTGGTCACACTAACCTGTATTCCACTGAGTCATGTCTTTTAATCTGACAGAAGTTGACCGCATCGGCGCACAAGAGCTGTAGTTTTATCTTCTTTTATCTTCTTCTGTAGTTTATGCAAATTAGCGATGCAGTTTTAAGTTTCGTTTCTGTTTCTAATGTCAAACAGGCTGATGTGGCTCTAGAGTGGTTACAGTTTATATGTCGTAAAGTTGAATTTATTTATGCAGATTAGTAGTGCAGATAGTAATAATAATGATGATCATTTTAATATAAAAATGTTAATGATTAATCAATAATCGATCGTTAATTCTTCCGATGATCGATTAAGAACATTTCATCGAATGCCCGTCCCTATTCTACATACATAGTTGTTATGTGTTTATCTGGCAGTTGATGCCATCAGTGCAGGTTACATCTGTGGAGCAGTGACCTTCTACACAGTAAAACTGTATGGTTTTTTTTTTACCATAAAATCACCTGTTGATTAAATGCAAGACAGATATTTTGAATGCCATATTGCAGTGTTTCCCAAACTTTTTTTTTTCACAAACTTTCACGACCCAAGTCAATAGACATTATTCATAAATCACAAAATAAAAGTGGATTTGACCATTATTGAACATTAATGAGGATATTTTATTGTTGACTGAGTGACCATGTCTCTGAACTATTAGTATTACTTAAGTTTTAAACAATGAAAAACATTCACTGAAGCAGCAATAAAAGGATCCATAAGTCGCCTATTTGGACATTAAATGTAGAACATTTCTTTTTCTTTTCAACATTGAACCAGCAACACTGGAACAAAATAGTCAATAAAATAATGATGTCTCATGTGTCAGAACTGTATATTGCAGATCTACATGCAGATCATGACAAGGCAACCCAAAAAATCACTTGTGACCCACCTGATTGTCATGACCTGGTCTTTGGGAAACAATGCCATATTGTGTAACATTTCATGCAAAGCAAGTACAACTCCATGGCGATAAGCAGCTGGTAGAGTGCCCATGAGTTAAATACTGAACTCAGCATTCATTCATAAGCATTCTGTCACTGTAGTGTTATAAATGATCTCTGAATCTAACTTTCCACCTTGAACTTTGTAGTTATTATTTAAATAAATAAAAATATACAACAACCAATGGATCCCTCTACCTATGTCAAATGTTTAAAACATGAAATTCAACACTAGGTCCTGTATTTATGCCTTAAGTAGCATTAAATACTTTCCAGGTACTTCCGACCATACTAAGTAACAAATGAAATAGATGGAAATCTGTCTCATGCACATATATTGTTTGTACACACCCAGATCAGACTAAATGCAAGCACAGCCAGAAGTGTTGCAGAGCTGATGTTGTGTGCTGTGTTGTTTACAGTCTCTGGTCATAACCAACGCAGCCAAGCGCTCGTCCACTGTGGGGGAAGTGGTCAACCTGATGTCAGTGGACGCCCAGAGGTTTATGGACCTCACCACGTTCCTCAACATGCTGTGGTCTGCTCCTCTGCAGATCATGCTGGCTCTCTATTTTCTTTGGCTGGTAAATACACTCGACTTTGATTAAGAGCTGCTACTTTTTTCTCATACCAACCAAAGTGTGTGTACTACTTAAGGCATGCTCAAGGTCTAGTATCACATTCACTCAGAGGAACTGTATGTACTGTAAAATGTACTTCAATCACAAATGGGTTTATATAGTTTATATAGAGTCTATAAGTATATGTACATCATCTCCTACAACAACACAAGCACTGATTCATGATTGGCTGTAGGTGCTGGGGTTTAGGGAGTGACCATTCACATCAGAGACAGGGACATTTTAGGTTTAAACCAACTGGTGTTGAAACTGGCAATCCAAATGAGAGATTCACATGACGCTCATTCTGCTTTCTGATTAGAAAATAGTCTTGAACCAAAACACAAAATTATAACATAGTAAACAATGTTGACATCATAACATTAAGAATAAATCAGCGTTACAATTGTTATCAGTAGAAGCTCTGTTTCATTTGAACATGATTATCCTTGTGGAGAGGCGAGCTCACTTGAAATGCAAGACAGATCACTCCAATGAGGTCCATTTGGTCTTAGAGAAGAAGAATTAGAGAAGAGAATATCTTTATTGACATTGTAACCGATACAACAAAGGGAGCAGTAAATAGTAAGAGATAAAAGAGTGTCTATGGCAGCGGTCTCCAACACTTTTCCTCAGTTGAGCTTCCTTTACAAAACAAAAAATCCAGAGAGCTACTTATTTTTTGCAGTTATAGCAAATAAAGTATTCATAGAGCCATGGCAAGACTTAGATCAGGTACAGATGAATAAAACATAAACCATTATTTATTTATGAATGATAGAATTACAATAATAGGCCTTTACTTCATCAAATTTGAGTTATTCAGGATAATACATGTAATTGAGAAATCCCCTGGTGAGTTACTTGGAAGGGGGTAGAGAGCTAATGGCAGCTCCTGAGCTACAGGTTGGAGACCCCTGCTCTATGGATATTTTTTAAAAGTGCACCCACACATAGCCTAGCCATACACATCCACATTCATAAATGCAAAACGTAAAAAAAACATGCTGTGGTAGCACCATATAGTGAAATAATGACTGTCGGTTTGTAGATAATTTATGTTATTAGGTCTGATCATTTATGTTATTAGGTTCTTTTTCAGACCAGGAGTTTGTGTTGTACCTGACAGTTTGGACTGCTCCCTCGCGGTCTTCCTCAGAGTGGTCAGGTGATGTTGCTGTGGCAGTGAGTCCTGAGGAAGTGGGACTGTAGATGGCGCTGTCATCCCGCCTCCACTGGTTTGGAAGACAGCGCCAAAACCTGTTTAACACGTCAAAGCAATATCACGTGACTCTGAGGAACATCGCAGGAAGCAGAACAAACTGTGAGGTATGAAAACAAACTATACATACAGTTACTATACATACTATAGAACAGGGGTCCTCAACCCCCGAGCCACAGACCGGTACTGGGCTGTGGGTCGTTTGGTACCGGGCTGCAAAAGTGCACACCCCCCCTCCCTTTATGCATCTCTAAACCAGGACTAAACCAGGTCTAAATCAGGTCTAAACTAGGTCTAAACCAGGATTAAACCAGGTCTAAATCAGGTCTAAACTAGGTCTAAACCAGGATTAAACCAGGTCTAAATCAGGTCTAAACTAGGTCTAAACCAGGATTAAACCAGGTCTAAAACCAGGACTAAAACCAGAACTAAAACCAGGACTAAACCAGGTTTACACCAGGTCTAAACCAGGACTAAACCAGGTATAAACCAGATCTAAACCAGCACTAAACCACGACTAAACCAAAACTAAAACCAGAATTAAAACCAGGACTAAACCAGCTCTAAATCCAGCTCTAAAACCAGGTCTAAACCAGGTCTAAAATCAGAACAAAACCAGGTGAAAAAAAACGTGTCTAAAACCAGGTCTACACCAACTTTAAACCAGGTCTAAAACCATAAATAAAACAGTTCTAAACCAGGACTAAACCAGGTCTAAACCAGGACTAAACCAGGAATTAAAACCAGGAGTAACCCAGGACTAAAACAGGATTTAACTAGGACTAAACCCTGGTCTACAAAATATTGTCAGACATAAAGCCGGTTCGTGGCTCTAAAAAGGTTGGGGAGTACTACTATAGAACATCTGATGCAAAGCTATAACAGTCCCATGGAGACAAGCAGATAGTAGACCCTCCACCCCAACAAGATGCTAAGAAAAAGCTAATCAGTGGAGGACTGTTGTGTAAAAAAAGACAGTGGCTAAAGATAAGCTTCAATGTTTTGCAGAAATTGGGTCCGTCCGTGCTGGCTGGAGTGGCAGTTATGATCCTCCTAATCCCACTCAACGCTTTCATCGCTATGAAAACCAGAGCCTACCAGGTATCCCGCACTCACAGTCTCCAACTCACCACACAGCACATCACTGACCCTCTGTGTGTGCGTAGGTGGAGCAGATGCGCTACAAAGACGAGCGCATTAAACTGATGAACGAGATCCTGAATGGGATTAAGGTCCTGAAACTGTACGCGTGGGAGAAGTCCTTCATAGACAAAGTGTTAGCCATCCGACAGAAGGAGCTCCATGTGCTGCGCAAGACCGCCTTCCTGGGAGCACTGTCCACCATGGCCTGGACCAGCGCTCCTTTCCTGGTAATCTCTTGTTTTTCTTTAATTTTATTGTCCCTGTAGAGCAAGGGTCTCCAACCTATAGCTCAGGAGCCACCAGTAGCTCTCCACCTCCTTCTAAGTAGCTCGCCAAAGAATTTCTGAATTATAATTAACAAAAATTTGATGAATAGAATGACTATTAAAATTGTAAATGTATCATTTTCTTGCCTAACTTTACTTTCTGCACTAATAAATGGATAATGGTGTATGTTTTATAGACCTCTAACTGTTCCTATCTAAGGCCGTGGCTCTTAATTACAACATTTCTTGCAAACATTAAAATGAGCAGCTCTCTGGCATTTTAGTTTTGTAGGTAGCTTACCGGAGGAAACGAGGTTGGAGACCCCTGCTGTAGAGAAATTCGTCATTGCTTTAAAGGGCCTGTGTTACGCTATTTTCTGGTCCATGTTTTAATGTTGTTTCCTCATCAACAACATACCCAGAGTTGTGTTTCATTTCATTCACACAGACAAATCCTGCAGAGTTCTTCTCTCAAACAGAAAACAGTCTTTGCGATGTTTGTGATGATACAGGAAGTGCTCCACTATGTTTTTTAAATTCCATATACCTTAACTAGAATCATTTGAATAATTTTAGCCCTGGAATTGACAAGCTCCACTGAACAAAGGGTAAAAAGTAACTGTTAACGTAAAAACTACAGCTTTATGGAACAGAGCATTTTGAGCATTGGGGTTATTGATGGACTAATAATAAAGGGTTAGTCATATTCAGTTCAATTCAATCTTTATTTTGAACACATAATATCTGGTTCATAGTAGGGGTGTAACGGTACACAAAAATCATGGTTCGGTACATACCTCGGTTTTGAGGTCAAGGTTTGGTTCACTTTCGGTACAGTTTGGAAACAAAATGTGAAACCATTTGTGTTTTTATTAAACCAACTATTTGTTTTAACATTATATAAACAGGAAAATAAAATAAATGCAAAGTGCTGCTTGGTAATACTAATAAGTTAAAGAAAATATTCTCAAATAAACAACAAATGCATGAAATATTATAAAAAATAAATTCCTTGTAAACAGTAAACTAAACTTTTCAAAAAGTAAAGTGCAGCACTAACAGTTCCAGCATGAAGTTTTACTCAATCTTCATGTTTTTGGCCAGAAAAAACAACTTGTCCACAGTGTAAGTGCAGATCTGCAGCAGTTACAATGTCTCCAGCGACTGAAAATACACTTTCACAAGGGACAAAGGTCGTCCCAATAACGGACGAGTTCCCTTGTGAATATTAAATAGCCGAGCCTTCTGTGTAGCTGCACATTTGGTGGTGGAATGTAAATACACACAAATTGCGTGAACTCATTTGTGCCTTGTACTGAACCAAACATCCCATACCAAAACAGTTTGGCATGAATACATGCATCATTACACCCATAGTTCATAGTATAAGTAGATTAAAATAAGAAGAATACAAATTGAAATATACAGTGCATGTTATAATGTATACAGACTAAACCACCAGTGTGTCCACAGCTTAGAGCTGAATCTGACAGAGCTCCTCACAGGACACACTACAGCTTGAATGATTTGATTGTTCAGATTCATGGCTCTACACATAAATGTGACAAGACAGGATCTCACACCACAGTTAACAAACATTTCACTGGCACTACAAAACCTCGGCACTTGCAGTAATATTCTCTCAGAGTAAGAGGTCACTGTCAAACTCTGCAAACTCTTTTTCTTGTAGTTGTGCCAAAGATGTGCAGTATACAAGAGCGAGTGGAATCAAACGTGTGAATGAAACAAAACACAACTCCTTTTGCGTAATAAAGGACCTTTAACTTGGAAAACAGTGCAGCAAAGACACTGCTCCATTTCTCGATCAGGAGTACCTAGCTGGAGGATTAGCCTGCTATCCATGTTGACAGAAAAAACCAGAGCACCCTGAAGAAAGCCGCCCACCCAAGCAGAGAATGTGTGACCCTCCACACAGGAAGGTCATACCCATTCTGGAATTCCAATGTGGTACCTTCTTGCTGTGAGGCGACAATTCTCAAACCAATCACAGCAGGATGAATTCCTGTGTCTGTGTTCGGGATCGTTCACAGGACAAATGACAGGGCAGAGTTGTAGCGTGGGTAGAAGCCAAAGATGAAGAGCCCAAACACAAAACAAACACAGGGATGCCGACGTAATTACAGACTATCTTGGTCCAGAAGGAAGCGGTATTTGTGGAACAGTAGTGAAAGAAGTATTCATTGTTACTTAAGTGAAAGGAGATCGGAAATGTACTCAAGTAAAAGTATCACATGAAAAAATCTATTTAAGTAAAAGTGTAAAAGAGTAAAAGTAAAAGTATGAAAGTACCCATTTAAGAATCTACTGTTGGGTGATCAGGACTGAGACTAGGACTGATACCAGGACCGGACTGGACTGAGACCAGAGCCGAGACCAGGACCAGACCGGGACTGAGACCAGGGGCCTCATTTATAAAAAACTGCGCAGGAGTTGTCGTAAGTTAGTGCGTACGTCTGTAGCTACGAGAGGCGTGCGCCACGCAAACTCCATATTTAGAAAACCCACCGCACGCACCAAACCACGCAATCTTTGCTTTATAAATCCCACCTGCAACTAGAATTTGCGCATGTAAACCTACGTCACGTCACGCCCCCTCCACACCTCCACCTCACCATAAAAGGAGCAGGTAAAGTGACTGGTGAATGAGATTTCCCTGAACATGAGCCGATAATCAGTGAGGTTTGACCGAGACACGCGGGACAGAGGGAGGAGGAGGCTCCACGCAGCACCACGTGATCACGACAAACACTTTATTAAAGAGACTTTATTAAACAAGGTTTAATAAATAAATACAAAACTAAAAGTGACAACAATGACTCATCTGTTCATTTAATCATTTTTTATAATATTTAGGCAGCACATCTTTGCAGTAAAGCCCATGTGTTTTTTTCGCTGTTTCAAGAGTTTTATCGCTGTATTTTTAAGTCTGTCTATGAAGTGTGTGAGGACTGGCCCTGTATATTTATGCATATACACATAGATACGTGCACGCGCTGATCTGAATGGTCAAATTATGAGCGCGTGCGAGAGATTCAGATGCCCTCCCCTGGAGAGGGAAAGGAGCGAGGGAGGGACACGAGGACACGAGGACACAGATTTAACATGAAACACATCAGATACAGATGTTATTCTGCCAATTAAAGTCCACACGAAACATCCAAACTGCTGAACCTGTGAGTGTGGGTCTGGGTCTGTGAGTGTGAGTGTGGGTCTGGGTGTGAGTCTGGGTGTGAGTGTGGTCTGGTCTGTGAGTGTGTGGGTCTGGGGTCTGTCTGGAGTGTGGGTCTGTCTGGGTCTGGGTCTGGAGTGTGGGTCTGGGTCTGTGAGTCTGGGTCTGTGAGTTGGGTCTGTTCTGGGTCATACAGTCAGAGAGCAGCTCTCATGTGCAAGAGTTTCCCATTACACAAAAATGTAGGGAAGATTTTGGTTGGGGTCAGGTTCGGGCAGTGGGCTTCGTGTTGTCCGCAGACTCGGGTCACTCTGGCGCTCGGTGCGTAAAGACTAAAGTAAAAGTGTTAAAGTTTTGTTCATTAAATCAAAGTCTGGCTCCTGCTGCGTCCAAGGGAAGAGTTTTTCTCTCAGGTCGGGTCATTATTTCGTCCTCTGTGTTGGTCACAGTCTGTGTTCTATAGAAGTCTATGGTCGTGGTGTGGACTGTGGGACTCTGTGCTACACCGGGTCCGGGAACATAGAGTAGAACGTAGAGTTTAGAGGAGGTCCCGAGTTGGAGTAGAGTTAAGCAAAGAGCCACGCCTTAAGCGAGTTTTATAAATACTGCAGTTGGCGTAGGAAGCGCGCACGCACGGATTTTTGCGTAAGCAAGTTTTATAAATGAGGCCCCAGATCTAAACCAGGATTGAGACTGGGACACGACCAGGACTTAGACCAGGACCAGACCTGGACTGAGGCCAGGGCTGAGACCAGGACCAGACTAGGACTGAGACCGGGACTGAGACCGAGACTGACACCGGGACCAGACCAGGGCTGAGACCAGGACCAGACCAGGGCTGAGACCTTGTTTAGTTCTGTTTTAGACCTGTTTTAGTCCTGTTTTAGTCCTGGTTCAGTCTTGGTTGAGTCCTGGTTTAGTCCTGGTTTAATCCTGTTTTAGTCCTGGTTTAGTCCTGGTTTAGTCCGGCATTGTAGTTTAAGTCACAGAAACGAGAAAGGCCGTTGTCTGTTTTTTCCATTATTCATTTAAACACAAAATCTGAAACAAATCGTTATCCTTTTTTTTTGTGTGTGTGTGTATTTGTTTTTTCATTTTGGTTTTGGAGACAAATAATTTTAAAAATAGTTGTTTTTTCATTTTCTTATTTTTGCTTTTATTTTGAAACACTAATGAACGAATGATACACGGATTCACTGCAAACTGTTGAAAATGATCTCGTACTATTTATGTTTTTAAGACAGGAAAAATCAGCTTGAGCACTGTACACTGTACACTTTAAGAGGAAGTGTGTCAGCCGCTGGGAAAACGTGATACCAAATGAATCAGACATGACAGCTGTACATGCAGTGTGGCACCAGGCCAAGTAAAGCGCTGTTTGAAGCTTGACCATAACAGTCTGCTGGGCTGGGTGGAGTACAGTAGCAGAGTGTACTGTACTGTGGGTCCCAGACTTTGTTGTCTCAAGTAGTAGGGATGGGCGCTATAATGGGTCCAGTATCAGTATTGGCCCATATCAATACAGATTGCTCAATTCTGATATCAGCCAATGTTGAAGAGTAATACCAATATTCTTTTCTCTATTTTATTATTTTTTTTCTTGAAAAATTTTAAGGTGCACTATGTAACTTTTTGGTTGAACTTCTAGCACCTGCTTGTTTCTATGGATATGTCACTACTCTGCCTGGAATGTTCCACAGTATGACTTTAAACAGCTCTAGCTTACATTTATTTAATTACAGGTGGTTTTACAGCTCAGAACTACCTACAA